TATGTGCTGCAGTTGTATGTTCCGTCTCGTGCCTTGCTTGATGCCTGTCGTCGGTGTGCGCAGGTGTTAGCGAACGGGCCGTGGAATGCGTTGCCGACGGAACTACTCGAGAACCTAAGTGTGTGCGGCGGGGGTACCAGTCTGAAGCATCTCCCTCGTATCAGCATTGCAGCGCGTGCGAGGTGTGCCGAACACTGTCCCGTCTTTTGCCACAAATTGGGAACTCTTCGTGCCTTTGGCCGCTCTGATGACTGTTGCATTGCTCGTTTACACACCGGTTGGAATACGACTTGCATCACTACTCAGATGGCAGCGGCACGTGGCATTGTCCTCTCTATCCTCCTTACGCTCCCTCCGACGACGCCTCGGAAGGCTATCCAACGTAAGCTCTACTCTTCCCTTCAGCGCATGTGTCGTCGTCCTGGTCGCAGTGTCCCCGAGATCCTGAAGGCCAGGCTTGATCGGTGGGTCCCCGAAGTTGACCCTTCTTGCATTCCTAACATGTTGCTGCGGCTCCAAAGGGTTAGGCGCGCTACTGGCACGCATCTTGTTTTGTCTCAGGTGCGGATCGCTTGCCGTGGGCGTTGCACGGCTACCCGTTTCAGGTCTGCGGAGAGGTATTGTATGTTTGGGTGCTGTGGGACGGGTATTACGGATTGTTTACGACATTACGGGATATGTCCGATATTACGCGAGATTCTGGGACTTTGGGTTCGTGATGAGCTACCCCCTCACGGGGCTGACTGGTTCTCAGACCTCCTTGTTTTGACACCCCGCCTCAGCCCTGAAACGGATCTCCGATATGCTGCGATGCGCGAGGCCTTTTACTTTACCCACAACTCCTGGAGGAGAGGTGTGAGAGTGTTGCCTAGACGGATCTTTGAAGGACGCCTCAGAGGCCTTTGCCGCAAGCGCCGTGCCATCCAGCTTGCGATTAACATGGCCTCTGGGTGACTGTTTTGATTTTGACGCCTTGCTGTTGCTCTCGTCAGCAACGGCTGCGGGCCTGCTCCTGAGCTGCTGCTGGGGTGAGGTTGCCTCATTTGCCTGGCCCGTGGACTCCAAGGCCTCCTGAGCCCCCCGAGAGTAAAACAAATGTGGACTCGCAGGGTAAACCTCTCGCCCTCGGCGAAAGCCAACGCGCGTATAACGAGGCCGGTGCCGCTCAATGCGCGCACGTGCATGTAGTATGATGAGATGATGAGATTTGATAAACGAGCGCGCGCATGATTTTTTGCAGAGGATGACGGGGGGGGCGTCCTTTTTCCTGCTCTGAGGCGCGCGTCTCCGTCCGCCCCCGCCTCCGATGGGGCGCGCCTCGCCACTCCTGCTTCCTCCTCCCCCTTCCTTCCTTATGCGCGCGCCTCGCCCCTCCGTCCTCCCTCCTTCCTTTTCGAGGCGCGCGCCTCCCCTCCTCCTCTCCTCGGCGGGGCGCATCGCCCTTCCCCTAACGCTTGAGCTCTCCGCTCGCCTTTTGCTTAGTCGACCGTCTCCCCCTGCCTGCCTCGTTCCCTCTCTGGGGCGCGAGTCTCCCGCCTGCGTTCTCACTCCCCCCCTCTGGGGCGCGCGCCTCCTTTTTCCCCCTCTTGAGGTGCGCGCCTCCCTCTTCCTACTCTTCAGTCGCGCGCCCCCCCACTTCCGTCCGGTTGAGGGGCGCGTTTCCTCACATTTCGTCCTGCTGCTCCTTTCTCCGAGGTGCGCTTATTTGTGGCTCCCCGTTCTCCCTCCTCTCCTTCCGTCGCGCGCCTCCTGTCTCTTCCGTCTGAGCTGCGTGTTCGTCTTCTCATACTCGTGAGCCGCGCGTCTCGTTCCGTTCTTGTGAGGCGCGCGTCTCCCGCGAGGCGCGACTCTCGTCCCTCTGTCCTCCCTTCTTCCTGGTACGTAGGCGCGCGTCGCCTGTCTCCGTTGTCTGCGGAGCGCGCTTCCTTCCTCTTTGTCTCCGCTTGGGCCCATGTAGCGTTCGGGGCAGGGAGTGACGCAGCTGGAAGAGGCGGAGGAGGCGCGTGCGTGGGGGCGAGCGTACCTCGACGAATATGTGCAGTACCTTCAAGAGCGGAAGCAGAACCACGTGCATCTGGAGAACCCAGAGACGGGGGAGAGGGTGCCCTTGCCAGCGTGTCGTCGGAAGGACAACCCGAAGCTCTGCAAGGCCGATTTCCCACGAACGACGCAGGTCATCGATCGTCCGGCCGTGATCTGCCCAGGGCTGGCGTCGCAGCTGCATATGCCGAAGGCCGGCAGGCGGAACCGCGTCGGGAGTTTGCATGGGCCCCTGAACCATCAGAGCCTGAATGGGACACACCCATGCATGCTTGCCGCGCAGCGTTTCAATTCGGACGTGCAGCTACCGTACAGGTTCCCGATCACCAGCGAAAGCTGCACGTGCGGCAAGGGGTGTGCGGAAAAGCAGAACGACGCAGCTATCATCAAGGTGGTCTAGATGGCTCAGGACGCCCAGGCAGGGTACGCGTGCGATTACTGCGCGAAGCGCCAGCCTATGGCCTTCCATGAAGTCCGCGAGTGCTCGAAAGGGATCCAGAAGCTCAGTCGGCAGTTGCACGGGGAGAACGCGAACTACGTCGGCAAGCGGATGACGACGCGCATCATGAGCGACGCCTACGGGAAAGGCATCGTTCGCGGCCAAGTGGAGTATGCGAATCTTCGAGCGCATGCCGTGGGGAAGGATGCGACGTCGGCAGAGTCGATCAAGACCTGTGAGACGGCCAGTATCTACGGACGCGGGTACGTAGAAACGGTTGAAAGGTTGTCCGACGGCACAACTGGCGGGCGCAAGGCTCAGTTCGCGGAGGTGGACATGCGAAACCCAAGGCGGCGGAAAGTCTTTATCAGGGACGTTGCCATGTTGAACGGGCTTCGTCCAAATCGGGACGGCCTGTGGCACTTGTCGCCGTGCGAGTTCGCTACGTATTGGAGGCCCGTGCTCGTGTCATACCCTACCAGTATCAAGGGCGCCGACGCCAATCTTGACAGGCACCATGCGTTCTTGACGGCTAGAGGGGAGCAACAAGTAAAGGAAAATGGTCGGAGTCAGGGGCAGTCGAGAGTGCTTGTGCCTGGGGTGGATTTACACGGTGAGGGGCGACGCAGGGAACGATTGGGTGGCCTACCCGGACGCTGACGGATGCCGGCACCTGCGACACACGTGGGTTCTTGTCAGGAACAAGAGGCCTATGGGGCCACCCTTTTTCGGGGCACCAGTGCCTCGCAGTCGAAATGGAGAAGCTGAGCGGTCAGCGCGAATTGTAATGTCTTACTTCCACCCGTGGACGTTGCGACTGTCAGAGGCCGACAATCACGTGGCGTTCGCAGGCGCACTGCGAGGGGCCGCGAAAACGTGGGAAGCCGCCATGGTTGCGCGGTTGGACGGCGGAGTGCAATCGGAAGAAGCTGCACGGTACGTGGGGAACTTCCTGAGCGTGTATCGCGTGCGTCCGAGGGATGCGGAGCATGACGAGGCGCGGAGTGACGAGGACGTGAGCGACGAAGAATTGGAGGTTGGATTCGACCAGCTGGGCGAGGCTCTGAAGTCACGCGTCGGGGGTCGGAAGCGGGGCGTCGGCGACGGTGACAGCAGTTGTGAAGAAGAAGCCGGCGGGGTGGAGGGTGGTCTTGGTGGCTGTGCACATTGCCAGAACTCGAGGGCAGGCATGGCCAAAGCCCGGGAGGTGCGGGGCCAGCGCCCAATCGAAAAGTCGCTGATTGAGGTGCGAAACGCGTGGCCCACAGCCGTCGAATGCGATCTGGAAGCTTTTCAGGCCGCAGCAAGGGCATCGCGCAACAAGGAGAAATCAATGGCCGACAGAGTGGCGGGGGAGGAAGGGACTGGGAAGGTGGAGGCGCAGGCAGGGGCGACATCAGAAGAGATTGCAGAGTGGCTCAGAAAACTTGAGTATCGGACTGACAAGGACACAGGCCGACGCGCGGTCAACGCGAAACAGTTCGAAATGGCGAAGCAGGTAGCAGAGAGGGCGATGCAAGAGCTGGACGGGGAGGCGCGAGGGGGCGCGGGCATGGGCGACCCGCTGCGCTGGTGTTTGCACGGAGGGCCCGGCACAGGGAAGTCACACGTGCT